ATGCATTTACACGTTCATAAATGTTTTCTTATTAAGTTTTGGAAATGCATAAAGCAAATTTCATAAACCCAGACAAGATCAGGTAGCAGACAGGCATATCTGTATACAGTTTTATTACCTTCCTCTACAGTCCAGAGTCTGAGACTAGTCTTACAGACTCATAAAACTTAAGTATCAATACCTCAGGCAATTGACAATTAGCTATTTGCTAATCAATTGTGTTAAAATTTTGATAAGATGTGTTTCCCCAAAAGGCAAATATATTAAAGGCTATTCACTAGCCAATGATAATTGTGAAAAGTAATTGGATTTCAAGAATGCATTCATAGGTTTATAGTTGAATGAGTGATCAAGAAGTGGAGTCTGGTGGGAGTAGTCAGTCACTAGGGCATACTTTTAAAAGGTAGAATTTGTCCCTACCCCTCTTTATATTTGCTTCTTAACTACCACGTTTGTAGTAGTTATCCTCCACCACCCCATTCTCCTGTGATACTTCAACCTTGCTACAAACTTAAAAACAATGGTTGACTCTACAAATCCAACCAACTGTGTACCAAATCCCACGAAACTGAAACAGAAATGCTGATAAATCTTTCTTGCATTAAGTGGATGTTACTCAAGGGTGTGGTCACAGTAGTGGAAACTAGCACAGAGTTGCATAAAAAGCAGGTTTGTTCCTTATTTTCCTTTCAGACTGATAACTAAACTTACCAGGTCTCTGGCCTAAGCCTTCTCTTCCAGTTGGTAAAATTCAGACATTAGGGTTAGATATTTTTCTTGGAGAACATAGGCTTAAACTATGGTTGAATATGCTTGAGCTGTTCATGTATCTATCTATTTGTAGCAGCATGCTTGTCACAGACCAGGATCATGTCTAGTACCACGACAACTTTGCAGACAGTTCTTGTTTGGCCACAATCAAGTTTCCTTCCAGGACTCTCCTGTTTTTCTTATCAATACCCTCTTTCTTTGTCTGATTGAACAAGGATTGGTTAAATTTTAACTATGTCACTGATGCCTACAAGCCCACTGCCTCTCTTAAAAACTTTCATAATTTAGCCTTATCACATACATATTGATAAATTAAAAATAAGACTAAGAAGACAAACTAAACTGCTCATTTGCACATTTTGAATTGGCTACCCTTGTTTATGTTGTATCAATGTTTCCTAGTGTACCGTCTAACAACCTCAATGGTCATCAAATAAGAGCCTATACTGTTGAGGTTCAAGAACTAAACAATGTCCCATGTGCCTCCATTTTTGGCCATTCAATAATCATATTTGCCAGCTTGGTTTTCATTCAATTACATGAAGTGATTTGTGGGTCTAAAAGAGAAAAATAAAATTTGGTCCCAAGAGTTTACTGATATGTTCAACTAATAACAAACATAGATTGTGTAAATGTTATTAAAAAGATAAGATGAAGTTTATGTCATGTGTAATTGGAGTTGTATTAAAGCTCAATGTAATCATGCTATTCATAAAAAGTGAATGCCTAAGTAATTGCCTGAGAAATGTGAAGAGTTGGTAAGGTATTTATAAAATGGCTATGAATGTCTCCAGTATTGTTTAAGTTTATTCAACATTTTGTTTCTAAGGATAATGCATAAACAATATATTATATCAAAATTCTCTGATTTCTTATCAGTTATATACCTCAACTTAGAAGGATAAACATTTTTGATAAATGACAAATCATAAAACCTCTTTAAGAGTACTATTTTCTTTTGTAAAACTGTAATCAAGTTATATTTACTCCACATTTACTGTACTTCTTTAATTTCACTTATATGAATACATGCAGTTTAGAAGTAAAGAAACGTTCAGTGTGATTTTTGTCAATCGGAAGTAAAAGGATTCAGTCCTTTTTGAATGACTCCTATGTTGTTTTTCAGAAATAAGAGCAAATGAGGGCTAATAAGACATTTGTAATTAAGCAAATTTATTTTAAAACCATCCAAGATTCCACACAGAAAGCACATTACTTGAATTATTATTCAGAATTACTATTCAAGAGGGCACAATTAGTTTTACCTTATTCTAAAAAAAAATTATAATATAATTGACTGTCTCAAGGCATTTAGAATGCTCCCTCCTCCCCAGGACTTTAGAAGCCAGGAGGAATCCTTTTCTCACATTAAAAATTCTATGAAATCATTGTGAATATATTTTTGGTTGTTTGATGATAATGAAATTTATATTCATGTCATGTTTCCATATAGATAATAACATCACAACACTAAGTTAAATTAATAAAGCTTGTTTTTTATACTAGATATAGGTGTTATCACTATGCAGAATAGGATTTTAATAAATTATTTCCAAGAGATCCTTTCTCTTCTTCCTAAAATCAGCATTTTATAAAATCGTTTATAATTAAGAACAAAGGAGTAAATAAAGAAATGTGTACTAAGGATAATACAAGATGATGAAAAGTCTACAGCCTGGTTTTTTTCTTTTTAATAAAGTAGACAATTGCTAGATTTCCCATCACTTCTGAAATGTACAGGATCATGCACTCATTCTAAATCAGTGTTTTGTCATGAACTTAACCTGGAGAAATACAATGATTTCAAACTTTGCAAACACAGCTGCAGCAGCAACTTCAGCATTTTCCATTAGTAGTAAGAAAATGATTGATGCATACTCTGAAGTAAATGCGTGGCTACAGTGATTTCAGCTGCTGCCTTAGAGCCTTTCTGCATGCAGGTGTTAACAGCCAGACTCTAATACTCCAATGCCTGATTTCCACACAGCAGCCATTGTCTGCGGCTAATTGTTATTGCTTAAGGCATTTTTTTCATAATGATAATTGCTTATTTTGATATGTACTAACAGATTATGTACACGACTTCCTTTACTCTGCAGTAACAATACTATAGAATTTTAAAGCATGAGTTAAAAACATTGTGCTTTAGAGTCAACTTGATTCTTTCTTTACACAGGAGCACATCCTAGAATTAGATGAACACAACTGAATATTTTTTTAAACTGTGTTTAAGAAGTATATAGTATAGGTTGGGCAAGGAGAAATAACAGGAGAAAAGAAAAAGAATGAAGAGAAAGTATAAAAACACATTTTTTAATCTGACATATATGTATAGATACATATATATGTGAGATTTTTTTTCACACTCGTTAAGCCTTAATTCAGTAAGATTTACCGAAGTTGAAAAATTAAAATTTTAAGGCATTTTTTACAATAAGTGGAAATTCATCAAACTCCAAAAGGCGCTCGTAAGAGTCCTTGACTAATGATTTGGCATTCAAACATTGTTAACATAATTTGTAATTTAACATATTTGGTATCCTATTTACGAGAACTGTCCGTTTTCTAAAATAAATTTTTTGAAATGAAAAATTTTCCCCACACCTAACATATTAAACATTTCATTGTGAGTTAGCTTTCTTAGACTTCCAACATAATATCCATAATAAGGTTTCGCACATACACAAACACACACACACACACACACACACACACACACCAAAAACAAAAAAAACCCCTAAACCTTGCGATTCAGTCATATTTTCCATGTATATCCTAAATAATATATTCCCAAGACCATTACACTACATTAAGTATTTAAAGGAACAAACTTCCAAAGACTTTTTTTTCTTAATATAAAAGCATTAACAGCATGATTAACAGTCTAATAAATATTTCTACACAGTTGAAGTTTGTATAATTAAAAGTATGCTTTTACTAAAGAGGACAGTATCTCATGTGGCTACATTCCTTTTCAGTGTGTAGTCATCAGCATAAAGAATGAATAGCATGAGAAAGAAACTATTACACAGGTCCACTGAGTTCAGTTTAAAGACAGATACCTGCCTCTGCACGCAGCCAGGGAAGCCAACACCACCAGTTGCCACACTTAGTCTTGTCCTTGATCTCATGTTTTTGATCATTCACACACACACACACACACACACACACACACACACACACACATATATATATTAATCTAAAAGTTTGAGACCTTTGAAGTTTGTAGGAGAATAATAAGTCTAATTTTTGGGTTTTATTTATATTTCTTTTTTACAAAATTGTAAACTTGGTAAAAACAGAACATGTTATTTGGTACAATTGGTAGAATTTAGAAAATTTTGAAATTAGTTTTCAATATATGAAGGGCCTTTTGGAACACCTCAACAGTTGACAAAAACATTTTTTGTTGGCTCATTAACTATAACCTAAAATTAAGACTAGTTACATATTAGGAAGACATTTCAAATCAGTTATTAATTCAACACTTTAAAAATATTAGTTGACCTGATTCATTAAAATACTCTACTGTTTTTGTTTACATACTGCTGCTTCAATAAGCCCTCACAAACAGCTTCACAGCAAGATTTATCTTCAAGTATGAAATTAGAAATACATATCCCAGATCTATATCCAGTATGAACCACTGAACACTTCTTTCCAGTTGTGCCATTCCTGAAGTTCCACATAATTTATTTTGTGTATAGTTATTTGCGTTGCTTATTTATTAGTAATATTCCACTGCACTAGTGTTTGAAATTGTATATTACAAAGGATAATTCAGTACCACGCACTTATAGGGTTTTGATGAAATGCACATTTACCTATGTGGAACCAGTGAAGAGTGTAGATCTCTTCTAATCAATGTTCTCCAATTAATACATTCTTTTAATTTGTGTATTCGATGCTTTGGATGCTTTGTTGAATAGTCCTGTACCCATCACTAGATAAGCAGTCATTTTTCAGTTTGGGATGGGGTGGGGTAGGCATGGAGGACTTAGTGGAGAAGTAAGGAGTGAATATGATCAAACTACATTGTATTCATGCATACAATTCCCAAAGCATTACCAAAAATATTATTTTTAAAATATATATACCCTAAAGTTTTAGTTATTTCTTTAGTTTTCTCTTTATTTACTCTTCAGATCTAACTTGTATAAATACATGCTAAATACAATGAAACGCAAATCCCTGCATTTTTAAAATAAATTGTTCTTTTTCTTTTTTAGTTTCTACAGATAAAGTGATCTGAAGTAGTGTACAATAGTGAAAAAGAAGAAGAGTGAAACTGTGACATGTGGCGGAATGAGGAAGGCGATTTCATAATGCACAGCAGCATCTCTGATTCAGTTTATATAAAATCCCCAGTCATACGGACCGTATTGTTCACTTTCAAAACTACCGTTTCTTCTGTGTTACGAGCTGTATAATTGTTGTTTCATCGTTTACATTGCAAATATGTTTTCTCCTTTGCTTATTTTTTTAGTCTTACGTTGTAAAAGACATCAGTGAGTGATGAGAGAGACACTGTACACAAATGTATATTTGTAAAAGCTATTTTTATGATTAGCATGTGTCATCATGGATCACACAGTCATGTGGTGTTGCAATCCGACATTTAGAGCTTGTTTCCAACAATGTCCTAAGAAAAATATACACTGTATGCCAGTTTTTATAATTTAATTTTAATTCATAATTTAAAGAACCTTAGACCAGTAGGAAAACTATTTGAAAAGCTATATTTCTGCCCTCTATAAGCACCATTTTATTAATAAAGAATGCTGTTATTTCAGAAGTGATGCAACAGTTTAAGGACTTTGGTTTGACCTGTGAGCATGCTTGGCTCTAGTGAGCTGAAATGATCCAATCATCACCTATTACTTGAGTCTGACTGAGATTCTGTGGACAGTTCAGTACTCACACAGATGAGAAGTAGATTGATAAGAAAAAGATTGTCTTGTCCTGGGATCCAAACGTTTCAGGTAGTGCACACGCCCTCCATCTCATCTCTAAGCCCTCAGAATCCTCCATTCCTAAGCATTGTGTTTTCCAAATACTCTTGGCTATTGTCTTGTGCAGTGGAAATGGGAGAGACCATCCCCACAGGCTATAGGCACATTCAGCACATAATTTCTTAATAAATACTGGTTCTTTTAAAACAAAGTCGGTGTGTGTTTTTTTTTCTTTGGGTTGCATTTGTTTTAATATTAAGCATGAACATTATGAATCTCCATATTGGGGTCAAAATAAGTCCAATAATAAAAGCAGTGCAACTACACAGAAATATGTTCTGAGTGTGTTCCCCATACTATTCACGTCATGCCTGTGTTTGAGAATACATTAACTTAATGTACACAAGAAAATAAGAAGGCCCTACATTCTTGACAAAAGCATGATCCAAATTTATTTTGAGAATTTGTACTCACATACTCTTCCCAGTACTGATTAATAAAGTACTTTAGGATATAAATCAATCTATCTCATCAGGAGGTCCTGTTTTCTTTTATCAAGTCATAAGTTTGTAGCTAGATAATTTCAAGGTCTTCATTAAAGTGCACATGACAACATCCATCCAAATTAATTTTGGTACCTAAACTGCTTGATTATATTAAAGCACCTTTTTTTTTTTTTAACACAAAAAAATCAGGGAGAACCAAATGTTCAATATGCTCTTGTTAAATTCCTTTCCAATGTCTTCAAAATAGTTTATTTCATACTGATTCTTCATGGTCTAAATATAACCAAATGAAATGAAACTTTTCCATCTAAAATTCTGGGAGAAGGATGATGGCACTGAGAGGACACTGTGTCGGACTAGCAGGACGGCAGTGACAGCACAGTGACCAACAGATCAAACCCTGGGGCTTTAAACACCAGTGATTGTGTTTCCCAGGTGAGAGGAAACTCCACCTTGTGGGAAACAATCTGGTCAATTTTCTGGCCACTCAACTAAACCACAGAAGAGTTCCCAGGTCCCAGCAGGCACTTAATAGTCATCCCAGAGCCACATGCCTGCATTCTCAGATCACTATCCCAGACTGAACTGTGGTCCCCACAAGACCAGAGACTGGGTTTTTCTGTCGAGAGAAAACCCAGCCCAACTCACCATCCCAGACAGAACTGTGGGCCCCAAAGCACCAGAGACTGGGTTTCCCTGTTGGGAGGAAATCCCATGGTGGAGGAAACATCAGGTCCAACCTCATGGCACTCAGCCAAACCCCCACCCACCACCCGAAAATTTCTCAGGAAAAGTTATCGGGTTCCTGCAGGTGCCCAGTCACCAGATGGAAGCCACTCGTCTGTGTGGGTGTGCTCTACTAACCATACCAGACAGAACCGAGGACCCCAAAACACCACAGACTGGGTCTCCCTGTTGGAAGGAAAACCCACAGTAGAGGAAACATCAGGCCTGACCTGGGTTTCTTGCTCTGCGTTTAGTGAGCTGCTGCTGCTGCTCTTAACGCTTTGTTTGCTAGGCTCATTCCACTTGAAGAACCAGGGAGTCCCGCGGTTTGTTCAATTTAGCTAGGAACACAGGCTGCTCCTTGGAGCAGTGTCTGGGGGTTGATCCCATGGACCCCAGGCTTCTGTGGGTCTGAGGTTGGAGCTCTGTGCCCCGGGACCTAAGTGGTAATCAGAGCCTGGAACTTGTGGGAACCCGGGGACTTTTTACAGTTTTTTGATGTATATTTTAAATTATTTTTAGAACCTTAGGACTTATTTAAGTTTTTATATCCTTAGACTTTCCATGTATTTTGAAGCAATTTTTCTTTATCTAAAATATTTACCAGAAATACGAGTAGTTATTAGTGGGGGCGGTGAAAAATTACATCTGAAACACGTTTTTCCTTTAATATGAAGCGTGTGAGCAAGGCAAAGCTGTCTGCCCTTTCTTAAGAAGATACCTAGCACTAATGAACCAACGAGGTGACTCTAGCCTTGGGAGAAGGAGATGATTGCCTGCTGTTATCTAAATGACGAATTTATATCAATGTCAGAGATTTGAAAAGGATAAATTATAGCAGGAATATAATCCAAATGGTGTGTATATCAATTAAAATAAGGAGGACTAGTCCACAGTCTATTACATAGACATTCGTCCCAGGCTCCTGTGGTCTCCAGGGTGATGGGGGCATAGGTGTCTGTTAGGACATCATTGGAGACATTCCTGTGGAGGAGCATTGGAGAGACTGATTTCAGCTTGTCTGGGTAAAGTGATGCAATCAATAATACTCCAGTGTCCTGTTTATCCACAGGGCTGAGCCCTGGCAACAGGCAAATTATTGGAGTAGCCTTGCCCAGTGATTAGCACCACCACAGTCCATGTGAAGTTGTCCATTGCCGCTATGTTCACTGTATTTTTGAAGATCTTGGGGTCACTGCTAGGACCTGGAAGTCACTGTCTGTCAAATACGTTTATCTTAAATGTCATGCTCATCAAACCTTTGGCCATTTTGAGAGCTAGTATTAACCAAGCATATCTGAATTAAACAATCCTTGTCTGTTTTTAGTTATTTTTTTAGGCTATACCTTAAAAACATATACAGGAGGCTAAATAAGGTTTATTTCTCTAATTAATTACAATAGTATTTAGCATGAATATAAGCATAGTTGTGACCATATTAAAGAATTTGATTTTTTATAAAGTGACTGTTAATTTGCCTTTCTTAATTATCCTTAACAGTTTTCAGTAATTTGGCAGTTTGTATAAGACCAGGACTTTATGTTCAATCCCTCTTAGGTTTAACTCTAAAATGACGACTTTAAATTAAAGCTCTTTTAGTACTGAAATAAAAATTTAATTAAAAAATGCACTCTATAAAGAGACTGAGAAGTTTCCTGGTCCTTACATGGTGTACCATCATAGAACACAACAGTTTCTCATATGACTCAGTTTGCTAGTAAAAATAAAAACGTTAGACATATATCTTTAAATCAGTCTCTTTTAACCCGAATAGACCTTAGGCAAGGAGCAACATATTTTTTATGCCAGTGATCTCAGTTTTATTAATTCTGTAACCCTTTAACATAGTTGTTGTTTTTTTTTTATATTGTGGTGACCCCAACCATAAAATAAATATCTGGCTTGAAGGCAATCCTAGGCTGACCCTATATGAATGTCTTTTGACACACAAAGGGTTGTAACTCATAGGTCAAGAAACTGTTCCAAGTTCTTTTTCAGACTTCTTAAAGTCATTGTCTTATTGTATCATAAAAAAAGAAAAATTTCAGTCTCTGCTGTCTAGCTGTGGCCCTAAACTTTAGTCTTTTATTTACCTATTCATCAAGATCATATATATTAATAAAGACATTATAATAAAATATCTGATAAACTTTAAAATTTCTTATAGACTTATAATTTTAAACATTTAATAGCTGTTTTTAAAATATCTAGTTTTTAATTTTTTTGTAAAACTCCAAAACTTAAGTAAGTTTAAAGTCTCTCAATTGTGTGGGTTTTTTTTTCAATATCAAAATAAAGTATCTTTTTTTTCAAGAGGGAAGACAGAGCAAAAATATAATTTGTAGATGTCAAAATCTGATGTTAACAGTGTAAATAATTTAGTGTCTTTAAAATCAATGCCAAGTGGATTACTCTTATGTTATAAAGCTTGGCTGCCAGTAAGATGCAATCTTGTATACGAATGTATAGTGGTATAGTTTAATACCTGATAAAACAATCATTGTTTTAAATTCTATCTTTCATAAACATAATTTTTAAGACAGGACAGGAAGTACATAAAAATCTTATCTCATATTAAAAGTAACTTTGGAGACCTGGTTTCTTGGTTGGCTCATGCCTTGTGTTACTGCTGAGAACTGCTTCAAACTTAAGTTACAAGTTTTAAGCTAATGTTTTGGTACAGATGTTACAAATTTTTAAACACAGCCAGTAACTTATAAGCCAATGTTTTATAATGAATGCATATAGAACATAGTAAATTCATACACTTAAGACCAATCAAAAACAAACATGTAGTGGCCACGTAAATTTATACATTTTAAAATAGACAGATAATGCATTCCTTATTTTCTCCATCTGCAATTTCACAAGAGGAGCGCCTTCCTACATACTGAACCCAATTCTCATGAAACAGCTCTGTAAAGGGACTAGCCACTGGCTCTGGTCTCACTACAGAGTAACATGCCCTGGTTTTGCCACCACCTTGATCCAGGCAAGAGCAAAGCTATGCCAGCAGTGCTGGGCTTTCACCCTGATACAGCTGCTTTTTTTCTGAAAATCTTTGAAATAAATTAAGACTAAGTGAAAGAGTGAATGACTGGCCGGTGAAGTATGGCCTTTTTCTCGGAATATGAAACACAGAGCAACAATCAAACTATATGAAACCACAAACAAAAACTAACAGATGTGGACAGACCAGCATGCAAAGAACAACCAATAGAGTTGGGGAGGAAATGGAATAGACCCAGATGTGCCAATGAGAGGGTCCCAGAACCAGAACCAGGCATTCTCCCAATGGGTACCAGAGAAGGGTCAGAATGTTTCTTGTTCTCTTTTGACCCTAGAAGCAATATTACATCCAATTTCTCCTGTCCTGGGCCTCAGAAAGATATAAACCAGGAAACAAAAGACAGGTTTACCTCTGCAGGTCTTGGACTTCAAAAATGAAGTCCCCGAATATGAAGGATTTCAAGCCAGAGACCTGGATGAAGAGACTGGATTCCTGGACAATGCACATTATGAGATCCACTTAGATCCAACACAATTCAAATACCAGGTAAATACAGAAAACAAACATTTATTTTAATCAAGCCACTACTGATTGATCAGAGATTCAGAACAGCCAATATTCAGAACCAAAAACATCTGTGAAGAGTTACAGTTATATTTTTCCACCAACCAAAATTCAGGGACAGAGAGACTTTCCTAAGAGCATTTTTTTTGTGATACATTTATCCTGTTCCCATTGGTTGGTTAATTTAACTGTGATGCGGCAACTTGCCTAACATTCATGTCTTAATTTGCCAAGCAGGATGCCAGTTACCCATGTACATGTTTCTCTCTGCCAGGCAGGATGTCTTACCAGGGAGGTCTTGGGAACTTAAACTTCGTTTGACCCCTATTCAAAATGGAAGTTTTACTCAAAATGGATTCAGCTTGGTTCATTATTACATAGGTGAAAAAGAAAGAGCAG